AATAAGGATAGGAAAGGAAAAAGTAAAACTATCACTATTTGCAGATGACATGATACTTTATATGGAAGACCCCAAAAACTCCACAAGAAGACTCCATCTAGATCTTTACAAGCCTGGCTCCTTTGTATCCACTAGATCTCACTGCAAATGCATCCCTAGGTATGTCCTTCCTGACCACCAATTTTAGTGCCTATTCAGCACTCAGCTCTCCAGCTGTAATCTCACATTACAGATGCTCCTTGACTTACAATAGAGTTGTGTCCTGATAAACCTTTCATAAATTAAATATATCAAAAGGTGCAGGTTGTTGTAGTTTGGAGTTTACAAGGGGAACAATACAATACAGGATATATAACTTATGGAAATATTTTATAATAGTCACCCAAAGGATAATATACAAAGAGAGTGCAGGAAATCTGTCCACACACTTAAGACCAAAAGAATCCAGCTGAGGGCCTTGATCCCACGGCAACGTCCTGCATGAGTCCAGCTGAAGACCTAGAGCCTAAAACAATCCCCCCCACAAATCCAACTGGAGGCCAAGAGCCCACGACAATGCCTCATGCAATCCTGTTTCACAGATCTGTGCTGGGAAGGCCCAAAGGTCAGAGTTGGAAGCTAGAAAGTCTAGCCAGAAGGATGAAGGATCTATGCTAGCAGGCTGAGGGATCTGTACTGGAGCCAGGAAGCAATGCTCAAAGTAAGAACCAGAGCTGCCCCCAAAAGTACCACAGCCATCCTCAGCAACAGTGCAGTCCCAAGCTCCTCTGATGATAACAACTGAGTCCATATCAGGAAAGCCAGCTCAACAAGCTTCCCCAGGAGACTGAACTGTGCACCATACCATCTTCCCCTCTGGAGCCAGGAAGTGACGCTCAAAGTAAGGACCAGAGCTCACCCAAAGTGAACTGTAGCCATTGTCAGCAACAACAAAGTCCTGAGCTCTTCCGATGATAACAGCCAAGTTCATCAAGAAAACCAGCATGACAAGCTCCTCAGGAGAACAAACAGCCCAGGAAAAACCACCAGCCCAGGAAAACCAATAGCTCCTTAACAGTTTCCAACAGCTCCTAACAGTTAATTTCTTCCTTTCCAGTTCTCATTTTTTTTGCTGCTGGCAACAATCCTCAGGTGGGCCCCACCCCACACCCAGCACCACGCTGGTTCAGTTCAGCTGGATGTTACAAACTGACCACCAGTTGTCAATCCACCACACTGGTGCATTTAATATAGTATTCCTAACCTGCCAAATATCGTGCTTAGTCTCATCTGCATTAAACATGGTCAGAACACTTACATTAGCCCTTATTTGGGCAAACTCATTCAACACAAAACTGATTTTTAGAGTCGAATATCACAAAATTTATTGAAAAGATCAAAATGCCAAATCTGAAGTAGTTTCTACTTAATTCACATCCATTTTTGTATCATCATAAAGTTTTTAAAAATCCTAAATTGAACCATCCTAAGTTGGGGCTGTCAGTATTTTCCTATCATTGTAATAGGAATCTGTTTACTGTTTCACTGACTGCCCTACTGGAAGGCAGCATTGACAGGGCAGGGATCTTGCGTGTTTGTTTGGTACACGGTTGTAACCGTAGCAACTAGAACTGGGCTCACTGCACAGTGTGGGCATTCAAAAAATACTGGTCGAGCCTGGGCTATAAAGTGAGCTCAAGGCCAGCCTGAACTGCATAGCGAGACCCTGCCTCAAAAAGACCAAAAACAAAAACAAAATACTGGTTCAAGGAATGACTGAATGTAAGTCCGAAAGATGTCAGAGGGAAAGGGTAAAAGGCCATGGTTAGCGGATGGGAATGTAGCTAAATGGTAGAGCGCATGCATGTGCGAGGCTCTGGGTTCAACTCCAGAATCCTGAAGGGAAAAAAAAAAAAAAAAAAACAACTCCAGAATCCTGAAGGGAAAAAAAAAAAAAAAAACAGTCCAGAGAAAGTACAGCACCCAACGCTCCGGCAAAAGCCAGAAGTCCCAGAGCAGACTCGACTTTCGGAAGGGGAAGGCGGCGCTGAGAGGGCGCGGGGCGGGGCGCGGGGCGGGGCGGCCAGCGGAGGAGGAAGCCCAGGAAGTGACACCAGCAGCTGGTGCGAGGTTCTCTGCTTCTGTGGCCGAGGTCGGAGACTTCCTGCGGGGGCCGCCGGGTTCTCGTCCCTGGGCGATGGAGAACGGAGCGGTGTACAGCCCCACCACCGAGGAGGACCCCGGCTCCTCCCGGGGCGCCCGGCGTGGCCTCGCAGCCCTCTTCTCCCTGGGGCGGCTCCCGCTGCCCCGCCGCGTCCTCAAGGGCTTGCAGCTGGTGAGTGCGGGGCGCAGGGCGAGCGCGGGCGGGAAGCGGGGTCCGGCCGGGCCTCAGCCCGCGGGCCTGTGAGCCTGGTCGGCGGCGGCTATCTGGGTTTTCAGGAGGCGCCCGTTTCCTCACCTCCGTCCTTTCCTGCGCCTTTGGGGAAGGGGGCGCTGCTCCCCGCCGCCCCCGGTCTCCCCCGACGCCCCGCTTCCCCGGATCGCTTTCCACCTGGGTGCTCGAATGCGACCCGAAGCCCCTGAGCGTGGTCCGCGGGCCCAGGAAGTGCGGTCCTAGACCTCTTCCCCAGCCGCTGCCGCTCCCCATTATCCCGGGCGCCGCGGCCGGTGGCAGGACTATCTCTTTTGGCTCCTGCGGTATTCTAGTGCTGGATCCTGGGGGCAGTTTAACTTGGACGGTTTCAAACGTGTGTTAGAGGTAAAAGTCGAAAGGACATAGTTTTGTGTGTATGTGGAGGTAGCAAAGCTAGGTTGTGGTATCCCTCTTCAATTCATTTATTTTCGTCATAAACCTATTAGTGAAAATAGCAAAACATTTTTAAACTTTAAATTATAATTCACTTGAATGCACCCGTGTCCTCTTTCTACTGCTGATGGCCATCATTTTCTGCAAGAGGAACATTTTGGGGAAAATCTAAATGCTTAGAATGTTTGTAGATTTTTTTTTTAACCATCCAAGTGAAAAATAGCTTATTGGTTTTCTTGGGAAGAACTTAAATTCTTACAGCTCAGATGATCAGAACTTCAATTCCTAGAACTCAAGATGCCCTACTTTTGTTACACAGAAAAACAGCAGTCAGAAAACTGACACTGCTTTTAACCACCCAAATGATCATATCTGGCATGATTGGGAAATCACTTGGAGACGAGGGATAATGTGGTCTGTGGAAACCACTGCTCTGGCCCTGTCTCTCTTTCCAGCTGCCCTCTAAGTAGTTCCACAATAGGCACCTTTAGGCTCTTAACAGGGATCATGGGTTCCCGTCTGCCACTGTTCTTTGCGCAACCTGTTCCTTCAAACCTGATGGGTTCCTGTTCCTACTCTAACAAGCTCTTACATAGTTTTTAAAACGTATGCTTTACATCTCTACAGTAAAGCATAAATGTTTCTTGTATGAATAACAAAACTCTTTAGAAAAGAATTACTGTTTATTTGAAGCATTATTGGTATTTATAATAAATCATCTGGCCGGGGATATAACTCAGCGGCACAGTACCTGCCTGGCAAGCGTGAGGTTGTGAGTTCGATTGCTGGTACCAAAAAAATTTTTAAAAAAATTAAATAAATCATCTATTGGTATGCCTGTTATGTCCCCTACTTTCATTTGCGTTTATCTTTCCATTCTAATCAAAAGTGCCAAAGCTAGAGTAAAATTTCTCACTACCTTTTATAGTTTAGTAACCTGTAGTTGTATATCTTCAGACTAGAACACAACCAGAAGTTTTGCTGGTAGTCTTTTTAACTTGAATGCAGAGAAGGTTAACTTGCCTTGCAAAAGTCAGACAATTGCTTTTTGGTCCCTGTCATTCATAAGGAGAAATGAGAAATAATAAAAACCAATGTTTCTTAATGAAATTGACATTTATTTATGGAGACTTATGTTACAAGAATGCTTTGCTATTTTTTTTAATTCTCTTTAAAATGAAATAAAAAATGAAAAAAGAATGCTTCAACATGAAGCTTTAAAATGTTTTTATTATTACCTTTCCTTTTGATTCTTTTGTCTCTGTTCCTGCTTTATCTTGTTTAATAATAATGTCTTATCTCCTCACAATAACAGTATTACCCAGAAAGTCCCAAGGAAGTTACAGAAGAAGACAATAAAAACTGTCATTGGGCTTGGGCAGTAGAAAAGATCTTTGCCTTAACTCAAATTCTGCCTTTCATTTGTCTTACTTTGGTTGATTTATTTGAAAAAACTAAACAGAATTGCCCCGCTCCAACCAGAAAACAACTAATATAGAAATCTTTAACTCAGAAGACAGATACAGTGTTTTAACAAGGAACCTACAACCCTGTGAAATTCAGAGTGTACATTTATATGTTTAGTTATGTTATTATAGCTCTATAAATCTTAGATTCTCAAAGACCTTAAAAGAAAAAGGAAGCCTGTTTTAAAACTTAACCAGGCACTGTGTACTTGGGTAATTCTTACGTTGAACTCTTGAGGTTGAATTGGATTATCTCTGAGGGTTTTTTTCCCACTCTTAGGATTTTTTTCAAATCTCTGAAGCTGTTTGAGGTTTGCTGTTGTGATGGGAACACTGAAGAGGTGCAGGTGGAGCCTGCACATGCATACAGGAGGAGATAAGAAATAAAAGAACAAAACTTTCCTACCTATTAGAATGATGAGGTCATGAAGCGGTATGTGTCACCACTTGGCCTGAATTTTGGCAAAGGCTTGTCCAAACTGTGTTTCCTAACTGCTGCACACCCTCTTAGAGCTGAAGAGGAAATAATGTAGTTGAGAAATCAGTGTAAGCAGTTACTGGAATCCTAAATTTATGTAATCAGTGTTCTAGTTTATCATGCCCATGTATTTGTTTGTCCCTATGCTCTTATTTTGTGACCTTTTGTTTTTTGAGAGAGTTATTTTTGTTTTAAGGAGCACATTAACATTTGGCAACCTAATTACTTGCTAATTAGCTGGTGCAGTGCCCTATATAAAATATATGTAATATATGTAATTTTCTGTCTGTAACAGTTGCATGTTCTGACAGCTGCAAAATACTGAGATTATAGTAATTGTTCAGGCAAACAGTTTGTTGTAGGATTCACCAATGATTTGTTTGTTAGAGTATGAATAATGTTATTCTGTAACTACCAAGAAACAAATCACTCAGAAGAAATTTTTTATATTGATGCCTTTTCATTGTTTAAATGGGAAAACTAATGTCTACTAAATGGAAATGTTCTATTTTTACCTTGAGAAAGATCCATAAGGTCAGCAATTATATAATTAAATATTTGTATATAAATTGTTTAAGGCTGTGGAGGCGTAGCCTATTTCTTCTGGCTGACAATTTTTAAAATTTGAAACTTTTAGCTATAGTTTTTAATAGTTATAAGTCATACATTCATACAGTGTTGTAGATGATGCCTTATAAGTAATGACAAGCATTAATAATTTTTTATTTTTTTTGAGATAGGGTCTCACTGTGTAATCCAGGCTGGTCTCAAACTCTCAGCGGTCCTCCTGCCTCAGCCTCATGATGTGTACCCTGGGAGGCTTAAGCAAGAGGTCTGCAAGTGTGAGCCCAGCCCAGGGGACTTAGTGAGACCCTGTCTCAATGAAAAATAAAAAGGGGGTTGGGTGTGTGGCTCCGTGTGAAGATTCCGGGTTCAGTCCTAACTCCTGAAAAAAATTAGGTAGTAGATTGTTAAAGATAAATGATGAAGAATTATATTCAATATGACTGTTAGTTTTAAGGAAGATTTGAAGTTTCAGAAAAGTTAATGAAACTGAAATGGAGATACAGGATAGTCTTCTAATATCGAAGTGTTGAACCAGAGTCATAGTTAAGACCATGTTTTAGTCACTGAAATTTTCCAAATGGGTTGATCCTAACAAACATATTTTTAGTATATGACTTAGCAAAAAAGGAAATATAAAGAGGAAGTTGTAACTTCAAAAACGAGGTCTTGTAAGGAAAACCTACACAAATGTACACAGTCATAAAGTGAAATTAATCAACTGTTTAAGGGCGACTGGGAGACAAGTTCAGAATGGAAGGAAGGGTTTTTGCCTGTGCTTGCCTAACTTGGGCTTTAGCCTACCAGAAGCTTACTATCACATTTTAACTTGAGATTGGGGAGCTTCATGTTCTCCCAAAGCCCACTCAATTCTATAAACGCTTGATAATTCTCTTAATTATATTTGGGTAAAATTTTATCCTTAGAAGGAGCTACATTGGATGTGCAGTTGTTAGGTACTTAGCATAATATTCATTAAGCAGTATTCAGTACAATGACGTCATACTATTGAAAGCAAAACTGCTAACGTGTAATCTCTGTTTCCTTCTGTCCAATTTCTAAAGAAGAGTAGGCCTTCCAGAGTAATAATTGAGGGCTATATTTGTCATTAACTTCATACCTTTATCAGTGATGTTTGCTTTCTTCCTGTCCTTGGCCATTTTAGTATTTAATACTAGTGATCACCCATTTCTTGAAATTCTTCCTTCCCTTCACTATCACACTTTTTTTTCTTTTCTAATAGGACAGAAAGTATCTAAAGTAATCGACTAAACTATAAGTAAAATAAACTAAGCCACCCCACCGCCACCATCATCCACACATTCCCAGTTATCACTGATTGTTTGGGTATGTTCACTTTCCCTTTAGGATTTCCTAAATTTTGTTTTGCAGCACTGAGGATTTAACCCAAGATTACTGCACTGAGCTACATCTTCAGTCCTTTTTAATTTTTATTTTGATGTGAGGTCTCACTGAGTTGCCCAGGTGGGTTTTGTGTTTGTTATCCTCTCTGGCCTTAGTCTCCCAAATGCTAAGATTACAGGCATGAGCCACCACACCTGGCTTTTTTTAAAAAAATACTTTGACTTGCTTTTCTAGTGCTGATTGCTTGTTTCCCTCCTACTCTTAGAATTCTTTCAGGCCCCACCCAGTCTTTTGCTCCTGTCTCCTAACTTACTAAACCAGGTGGGTGTTCCCTCTTGCCTTTGTTTAGAAGCTCATTTTCCCTGGCGGGAATATCACAGAGCCACTCCCGACTACTTCACTTTCCCCGTCATTCCTGTATAGTTTGTTTTATAATCCCTTTGATTTACCATGCACTGCTTTCCTCATCCCTCTGCCTCCCCACTATTCTTTTCCTGTCCAGAGTCTGTGTCTCAAGCTCTAATTTGAGTTCTACATTTCCGGTCAACCATTTCCAGTTTCTTCTAGAGATTTTCTCAACTTATACATAATGAATGTTCAATTCTGTGGAATAAAACATTTTGTTTTCTTATTTCTTGTACATTTATCTTTTTATTACATCCTTAATGTTCATATACATAATGTCAATGCATAATCCTCAATATATTTTGTATTAGAGACTTAATATACTGTGGGTGATTATAAAGGAAGGTTAGAGGTCTCAAGTGTGGAGGTAGAAAATTTCATACTGAGTAAGGCTTGTGGTGCTAATTTCTTGGCCTTTGAAACTGGAGATAGGAACTAGTAAGTGTCCATACTGAATACTGTACCCTTCATTCTCTTAGGAAGGCCAGGCAGGACCTGCTTCTAATACTGCTGAGGCAGAAAGTCAGTAAGAATCCTGTTAATATATTTGGAACAGGACTTGTCATGACTTGAGTCTGCTGCCCTTTTCTTACCACTGATAGAAACAGTCCATATGTCTGCTATGGGTAAGATTTTGTTACTGTCAGGTAGCTTTATAGGTGAGTGGTCTTGATGATCTAAATTATGTAATAAGAATGGTTCCTGAACAACTATTCTCAAACCTCAAAGTTTTAGGCTGGTATCTTCTCCAGTTAATTGACTTATACACCCCAGGTGTATTTTGCAAATTTCTCTGAACTCTTAAAAGGTAGACAGCATTTAACATACAGCCAAGAATAAAGTTGCATATTAGACATTTAGTATTTTATTATCCTATAGTCATGTAAAAGTTCATTTTATAATGGTAATTGGAGAGTAAGGAAATACCGTTATATGGTAATCTGGAATTTGTCTTAGTTTGTCACCGTATTCTCTAGTGTAATGATTAGGAATCCTATCATCTGGCTGAGGGAAGTAGTTTGGGATGTGTGGGACTATTTTACACTTTGATTATTTACAGAAAAGTAGCACATTGGAATTTTAGTCCTCATATAAATTATTTTGGGTTATAGGGATGTATGAATTTTATATTGCCAATAAAGAAGGGGGGGAAATACCTTAAAAGCTTATATACCAATTTAGATTTGGCCTCTATTTTTTTCTTTCCACTTTTTATTTTGAAATAATTATAGATTTAGAAGAAGTAACCAAAAAAAATTTACAGAGAGGTCCTATGTACTCATTTCTAGTGGGCAGTTCTTTGCAATTTATTGCATATATAGCTTCCCATAGTTAGCCACCATAATCAAGATGCAGGGCTCTGTGTCATGAGGCTTCCTCCCTGCTGCCCCTCTATAGCCACACCTTCCCCCTTGCCCTTGGATGTCATTGATCTGTTCTGCTGCTCTGTTGTTCTTGTTATTCAAAGAATGCTATCAAATGGAATTGTACAGTTTGCATCCTTTTAAAGATGGATTTTTTTTTTACTTTGTATAATTCTCTGAAGGTCATGTAGGTTATTTCAAATATTTTTGTACCTTTTTATTGTTAATAGTCTGTGGTATCGCTATACCACAGTTCACTCATTCAAAGACATCTAGATTATTTCTAGTTTGGGGCAATTATAAATAAAATTATCATGAACATTCATGTACAGTACTTGTTTTTGCACAAATTTTCATTCCTCTAGAGTAAATACCCCAGTGTGCAATTGGTAGGTCATAGGTAGATGCAGGGGTAGTTTTTGAAGAAACTGCTGAACTTCTTTCCATATTGGCTGTACAGTAGTTTTTTTGTTTTGTTTTTGTTTTTTAATAATGAAAGTGTAAGATAAACGTTTATTATATGCTATTTAAAGTATCCATTCACTTTTGGTCGCAGTCTTGTGGCCATTATGTGCTTGGTTGTTTCTTCTGACTTTCCTGGGGTATGGTGACATTTCCCTTTAGTCTTACTTAGGTCACCAGTCATTTTGCTGGTTCTGGCACTCAGGAAGAAACTCCCTCAGCTTCATACTGCTCAAGTGTGCTCTTTGTTCTTTTCTGTCCTATTTCAAGTGGGCCCCAGACCTGAACCTTGAGTCTGTTCTCCAGAGAACTCTTCACTACCTTGTCCTTAGAGCCACCCAGCTAATTGGTTTCTGCTGAAGCAATGAAACGTGCCCACTGCTCTAGAATCTTGAAAATCCTTTCCCTTGACATCGTCCACTACAGCTCATCTGACCACTCTTTCCCAACCACACTTCTAGACTCTACTGTCCTAATTCCACTGCCTTGTCTTTTCCTCACTTCCCAGCAAGTATACAATGCTGTGATAGTGAAGTTTCTCTGCCTTACTAGAAATCTCTACTGGAATTTTCTTGCTGATGTCACCAGTAGCCTTCTTGCACCTCCGAGTAATGTTGGTGTTTCAGTGTTGTTCTTCCGGGGTCTTCCTTCCTTTGTTGGTAGCATTTAGCACTCATGATTACTCTTTTTGTGGAAATACTTGTTCTTGTCTACTACCCACTGGGCTGCTGCTGCTTGTTCTTGCTGGTGTCTCCTTCCTGCAGACCCCTTACAATTTGAGATTCCTGAGCTCTGCATAAGGCCAACTGTCATTCTGGGTGATCTCATCCTCTCAGTCAATCAGAATCTCAAACTTCTGCCCTCAAGCTCCAGACCTGTAATCTGTTTTTCTCTTGTGTTAGCTTTCTGTCACTTGAACAAAATCCCTGACATGAGCAACATAAAGAAGGAAAGATTTGTTTTGGCTCACAGTTCCAGAGGTTTGGGTTTCTGCCCTTAGGCAGTAGCAGCATGGGGTGTTTGGGGGGTGGGGGGGAACACAGCTACTCACTAGGGAATAGAAAGTCGGGGAAGAGCCACAGGGGAAGGGGACAGATGATCACTCCCTCCAGCCAGGCCCCACCTTCTGTTTTCTTCACCTCACAGTAATGTCATCAAATTAAGAGCTCTTCTTAGTATCACTGATAAAATTAGATTAATTCACTGATTCATTATCTATAGGCACACCTAGAAAAGTGCTTCACTAATTGCCTGGGTGTTTCTTAATCCAATCACGTTGACACTGACAATCAAGGTTAACCTTCACAGCTGACTCTGCCTAAATCTTCAACAGACTCCTCCTATCACAGCACATTTAAAATGCAGTTCTCTCTCTAGCACTCTTGTGTCTTAAGATACTGGATTCTTTCTGCCATGAGGCACCAGTAGTATCATAACTATAAAGACAGGTATGCCATTAAAACCCACCTGCATAATTATTCAGTTAACCATTTTCTATTCAGTGTGGGAAAAGGAGTCCTGACTCTACCCCTTTCACCCAAACCTGGCATGGCCTGTAGGTGCCTCTTGAGCATTTTGCAGTCTTCTGTCCTCAGCTGAGGTGTGTTGTTCCCATACCAGGTTATGTTACTAATGCGTTTTCTGTTCAAACATTTAATTAATTGTTACACAAATTAAACCAACTGTGAAAAAGGAAGTGTTCTATGAAAGCCAAATTGAAAGGTTTTAAGTTACTAAACTGTTGGTCAGCTGTGGAATGATGTAAAACAACTGTGAAATACCAGGGAAATCAGTTGAACTCTAGAAAAATTCTGTACTCTGTTGCTCAAGTGTCCAAGGTCTTGCTTCCTATCACATCAGTCCAAAAATGGTAGCCCGTAGGCAATGAATGTGATTAATGCAGAGAACATGATATGGAATTCCAAACAGCAGGCCTATATCCAAAGAAAAGACCCACTTCAGAAGATTGATGAATAAATGTGGCTTTGTAACTAAAACCCACATGTTTAAGATACATGTGTTACCTTGTGTCCCATTTTATTTCTTTTCTGATAAGGGATTCTACTCCCCTCTCAGTGATTACCTACTCTTCACCATTACTAGTACCCGTGGTCACCATCTCCGTGATTTTCTACTGCAGCTTATTAGCTGGTTGTCTGCCCTAAAATCTGCACCAGTTCCAATCCCTTCTCCTTATCGAAGGTAAACCTCACCCTGTCACTCTGCTACCTGAAACTAGTTCATGAAGACACTTAGATCTGCCGTTGCTCACCTCTCTAATGTCATGCAATAGTTTCTGTGCTGCCCTTTTCTCTCCTCAAACTACACTTTGGCCTTGTTGACTGGCTTTCTCGTGTGTTTGGGAGAGAGAGTGCTATGTTTTCTCTTTCCAGGGCCTTTCTGTAAACTGTTCCTCTGCTGGGAGCTTCTCTCCTTGTCTTTCACCACAGAACTAACCCTGCTGCCTTCATGTCCCAGCTTTTCTTCTGGAAGCCCTTTTGTGTTTTTATAACAACATCCTGATTTCCCTGTTTAGCGTTCAGCACATGATACCCCTTTGAAGGTAAGTACAGTGTAAATTCTGTGTAGATGAGGTTTATTTACTAATCTTGTTTGCCATAATTTCTGCTTTATAAATATTTGAGTAAACTTACGGCTTTTTTTTTTTGAGTACTGTGGGTTCTCTGAAAAATACTTGAATGTTTTGCTTCTTTTGTAGCTGCTGTCTCTGTTGGCCTTTGTCTGTGAAGAAGTTGTATCACAGTGTACTTTGTGTGGAGGACTGTACTTTTTTGAATTTGTGAGCTGCAGTGCCTTTCTTCTGAGTCTCCTTTTCCTGATTGTGTATTGTACTTCAGTGTACAACAGAGTCGATGCTATAAAAGTGAAATCATCGGTAAGCATGAAAAAATATGACACCTTTAATTAAGAGCGTAAGTGTTGTGTAATTTTGTGTGGTTTTATTGTTCAAAGTAGTAATGCTTTCAAAAGTCATCACCATGAAAAGATACTATCCATTATTCCAACACTTTGTATCTAAGTAACCCAGTTGTGCCTTCCAAGGGGATGATGGAGAAGGAAAGTAACAGTGACAGACACTGCCAATGTTTTTAAATTTCAAGACAGGGTTTCACTAAGTTGCCCAGGCAGGATTGGAACTCTCAGTCCTGCTGCCTCAGTTTCCCTCAGTTCTGGAATCACAGACATGCACCATTGCCCTTGAGTTATTTTGTCACTTTTTATTTCTCCCATTTCAGAGTGTCACTCACTGGGTCTGTAGTTATAAATTGTGCACCGTTGCCTTTGCCAAGCATGGGAGCTAGGGTAATGAGCTAACATATTTTTGGAGCACTTAAATCACTAATAGAATGTAATTATATCTGTTTTTTGCTTTCATTTTATTATAAGCCAAGTTTTCTATAAATGAATTAAGAAGGCATTTGTTGATTCATTCTTCAGAAATTTCCCTTGCAATAAAATTATATTGAGGAAATCTTATTTTCACAAAATTGGAGTTTAACTTTCTAAAGACAATCTCTTCACCCTTTGTTTTTATTCAAGTATAGTTTGGATTTATGGGATGACAGATAGAATAATTCAGGTAAGTAGTGAATTTAATGAAGAAATAGTTCAGCTGTTTACTTCGTCAGTAGTGTCTTAGCTGTCAATAGTAATTTGTATTTGAAGACCCGGTCCAAAGGTGGGCATCTGAAATGCATAGACACTTCTCAGATAAGGAAATACAAACACAAGTAAATATATGAAAAAATGTTCAACATCACTGGTCATACGAGAGATGCAAATTAAAACAACACTGAGATTCCATGTCACTCCGGAAAGAATGCCTGTCATCTAGAAATCAACCAATAAATGCTGGAGGGGCTGTGGGGAGAAGGAACCCTTCTCTACTGTTAGTGGGAATGTAGACTAGTGCAACCACTGTGGAAATCAGTGCAGCAATTCCTCAAAAAAGTAGGACTGGAGGCTCCATTCACCCTAGCTATACCCCCCTCTTGGTATCTTCCCCAAAAATTAAAAGCATCATACCACAGTGATACAAGCACACACCTATGTTTATAGAGGCACCATTTGTAATAGCTAAATCTTGGAAACAGCACAGATACCCATCAACCAGTGAATGGATAAAGCAACTGTGGGTTTTTACACACACACACACACACACACACATATATATAATAGAATGCTACTCTGCCATAAAGGATAAACTTAAGACATTTCTAGCTAAAAGGATGCACTTTCAGACCATATTCTTAAGTGAAATAAATCAGACGCATTGTAAATAACACATGGTTTCTCTGGTGTGAGAAACCGAAACTGTAAATAAGGACCAAAATTGGGAAATGGGTAGAAAATGTTCCAGTGAGAAGGGGAACAGAGTGGGGGAGGAACAAGAAAAAAAAAAGAAGGAAGAAATGACAACAAAACTTTTGTGGGTAGAGAGAGGAAGAGGAGCTAAAGGAAGGGGAAGGGAATGGGGAAAAAAGAAACAATATATACCATGTACAGGTACAAATTCCCTATGATGATTGTGATCATTATATATATCTAAAATGTACCAATAAAATAAAAATAGGCAAAGAAAAGAATAATAACTTGTAAAGAATAGTGCATGTGAGGGTTGACATGAAATTCATGTCTCAGGGTAAGGATAAAAATTACAGTAGTTTTTTTTTTACTATTAAGAACAAGAGCTGGGCATAGTGGCGTACACCTTCAGTCTGAGCATTCTGGTAGGCTGAGGCAGGAGGATCCATGAGTTTGAAGCTAGCTTGAGCTACATACTGAGTTCAAGACCAGCAAACTACATAGTGAGATATTGTAAAAAAGAACAAGAGTTAACAGTGTAAAAAGAAAGCAGTAAAATTCTTTTACTTTGAATTAACAAGAAATAAGCATGAAGTTATATATTGATTATACCCAAAATTATTTACTTTGGGGGGCAGTGCTCATGTACTTTCTTCTGTGTACTCTTTTGTACCACTTTAATTTTATGCTATGGAAATCTATTACCTTTCTTAAAAAGTTATTTTAAGTTAAAAAATTTAAAAGGGTACATGCCTGTAATCCTGGTTATTTGGGAGGCTAAGGCAACAGGGTCACAAGTTTAAAGACAGTCAGGCAAATTAGTGAAATCCTGTCTCAAAATGAAAAGAAGGCCGAGGATATAGCTGAGTGGTAGAGCACTTGCCTAGCTTGTGCAAGGCCTTTTCACCTAATATAAGGATTTCTTGTTTGCATGGTTTGAAAATGACTAGGAAAGAACAGTCGCTTTGAAGAAACAATCTTTATATCCAGTGCTACTGTAGGCCAGATTAAGTTAAGATCTAGTAGGCCAATATACTATATGCCTGGTACCTTCTGTACACTAACTCTAGTCCATGGAATCATTTTATAAAGAGGATACTCTTACTACTAAAAAACTAGTTCAAACTCTTTAAATTTATAAGTTGATTTAATAACTATTAAATAACTAGTTCAAAGTCTCATAGGAAGTAGCATAGCTGAGATTTGAACTTAGGTAGGAGTTATAAACTCAGGGAGCTATATTTATTGAGTGCTATGTTAATCTATCACAAAACGATTGTCTTATTTAAATATCTCTTTGAATATACTCTGGATATTAGGAAGTAGAACTTTAAATATGGATATAACAGAATTGAAATAATGCTCTTTTAGAACAAAGAGAACACCTCTTAAATTTTTTATAAATGTTAAGTCAATGGTTGACAGTAGAGGAATTGTTTTGATAGTTTTATTAATACTAGGTTTAATAGAAGTTGCAGTTTAAAAGACTCAGAAAGCAACAAGTGTAAAAGCCTGTGGAGTGGCTGTCACTTTCCCAGTTTTCCCTTTGAATCAAGTGTGTGTGTCAAGCCTCATTTTCCACTGGCACGGAGAACCTTTGGGGCAGTGCTGAGAGGGCAGTTGGAAGCCTGTGGAGCACCTCCCACTTCTAAGCTGCTTTATGAGGTGATGTGGAAGCTTTCAGGTAGTAGATGGTGAGCTCATCATTGAAGCTCGCTTGGATCTGTTGAGGGCAGTGTGTTATTCCAGAAAGCTCTGGTGTCTGAAAACACAACATTGGCATACTTTTATTTAGTTAATAATAGATGGTTCTTTTGATTGTCTTTTGAAAGCAGTGAAGCATTCAGAGATACTATTCTAGCTAAGATTACTTTTTAAAATTTCAATTTTCAGGAGCTTTTTATCAGTGCATATTAGTAATACAGAACAAGGTTTATTTGGTATATTGATAAATGCCCACAACATATTTTTATTATTTTCATCCCTTTTATCCCATTTTCCTTTCTGTCTCCCTCCCTGATCCATTTCCATGTCTCTAAAAGTTTGTCTTCTGGTGCATAGAATATTTTGAGTTTTTTTAATAATCTTTCCATTTTTTAATTTTAGTTTTTGTTTTGTTTTGTTTTTCTCCGGTACCGGGAACCGAACTCACGACCTTGCGCTTGCCAGGCAGGCGCTTTGCCGCTGAGCTAAATCCCCAGCCCCTCATTTTTTAATTTTAAAGAGAGAAAAAAAATGATACAGAATTTCAAAACAAGATAATAGGAAATTAACAGTGGTTATTATATTGCATATTGTTATCTTCATAGTAGTTGCTCAGATTATAAGATATAGGCAATGCATAGAATATTTTGAAAGAAAAAAATATTTTTTGTTGGAAATAAGATGAAATTATAATAAATTCTTTGGCTTTGATAATTTTAGGATATCCTAGAGAAAAAGAGGATACATATACATGGCCTTTGGAGAGATTTTTTATTAAAAGAGTGCCTTGTACTCTTTCAACTCACCCAGCTAAAAGTGTGGATAGTGTTTGAATACCAGGCTTATTGAAAAGTTAGAAGTGTGGTAGGTAGGTTTGGGTTGTGTCAAAAAAGTAAGTCACTGAAACTTTTTAAAATTAAAAACTGTGTTTCTTTAAATCTATCCATACTGTATTCCTTACGTGCGTTATATGTCTGCATAGGATTTTTACATTACGCTGGGAACAGGATGCGTATTTTTGTTGGCATCTATCATCTTTGTCTCCACCCATGACAGAACCTCTGTTGAAATTGCTGCAATTGTAAGTACTTTGCATTTTTAACATTTTTTTGGTTTATCTTCCTAGAAATACGGAATTGGCAAATGCTTGACAAGTTACACAATGAGTGAAAATAGTTTTTTTTTAATGTAATTTAAAAACTAGATCAATGCCGTGTGGTTGTACAGAATATACAAGAGAAATGACTCTTAAGTTCAACATAGTAAGAAAGAAAATAGGGAAACAAATTATAATGGAATATGTTAAATGAACCAATAGGAGTTTGTCTAGATAGCAGTCATCAGTGGGCTATGTATATTCATAAAATACAATCAAGACTTTCTAAGGAGTTATTACTCCTTAAAAAGAGAGTGTCTTGGTTACTTTTCTCTTCTTGCTGAGACAAAATACCTGACACCCAAAATTAAGGAAGGAAAGATTTACGTAGCTTACAGTTTATGAAGGTTTCAGTCTGTACTTGGCTGGGTCCAAGGCAGGGTGGTTGTGGCACAGGGCAACAGTTCATGGTGGGGGCGGGAGGCACAGCAAAAACAACCAGAGCAAAAGGGAGGAGCAGCAGCTGGAAGAGCAAGTCTCTTTTCCTCCCTTACACTGTATGCAAACTACATTGCCCCAGGGCAAGTGTAGCACTTACATCCTTAATTCCAACATTGGACCATGAATCAGTTATAAACTCTAGAAGCCTGCCCCATGAATGCATGAAGCTTTGGGGGGACTTTCAGACACAAACCATAACAGGGAAATTACTATTCCTCCCTGTTTTGTGGAAGTCAATTTCCAAGTTTTTAACCTCTGTATATAATCTTAATACTAATATGTTTGAGAATTCATCTCTGGTGGAGGAGGCTAGCCAGTTCTTTCCTTCCTTCTTTTCTACAGCCAACCCCCCCACCCAAAAAGGGAAAAAAGAATACACTTGCCTGTCCCAAATCTTACTATAGTGCTTTGCTCTAAGTTGTAAAACAGAACAAAACAACAACAAAAAAAAAAAACCTTTTTGAGTACAACAAAGGGACAGTTGAAGAAAAAGATCCAGTTTTTATCTGAAATCCTTGTGGCCAGATATTTTTAACAGTTCCAAATGGTGATGTTGGTCCTACACTACATTGTACAAGACCTTCAGAGGGCCAGGGGCAGTGTCCTGTGTAATTCAGCATTAATATTTAAATATTTACAGTAAAAGGGGTAAGTAAAGGCTGCAAGTAGTCTTGTTGATTTTTGAGTCAAGTGAATCATGAAAACTTTTGAGTATTTTTAGCTTTTTAATTTCGGAATTGTAAATCAAGGATCATAGATCTAGCCAGACACCAGCATTGTAAATGCAGATAATTGACAATGGGAAAACATATGCTCTTGCCAGCCATCTGGTTTCTAACTAGGACTTAGTTTTTCACCAAATGAAGTTGTAATTAGTAGAGTTGTCAGCTAAAATTTCATTAAAACTACTTTTTATGATAGAACAATGTAAAAGGAGTTCAGAGAATTGTATAGCTATATCTGCTTATTCATGTGCCCACAGTTTCCAACCACTTGTAAAAACAGCAGACATAAAATTAATGCTGAACCTTCACTTATCCTAGCAATGAGTAATATTCATCCATGGGCATGTCAACCAGTTGAAGAGAAAATCCAAGTTTAAATAGTTTAACCTTATAGTTAATTTCCATTTATAAACTTATACATGTTTTTATTGCAGAGGATTTTGATAGATCAATAAAGTACTTATAAGTATAAAGATATATTACTATAAAATTCTGTGGGGAATGTGGAGGAAAAATTGAGTTCTAAGGGATGGGGGGGCATGTCATAAAATTCCCAACCATTAGGTATGTATTGTATTTAGGTGATGTATCAGATTGTTACAGTATTTAATAGTGTAACAAATCAATACTTGTAATAAGCTGGAAATTGCCTTTTGCAACTAAATTATGAATAATTTTAGAGATGTAGATGAATGAGTGTTAAAAAAAGAAAGTATGTGAGAAAAACAGCTGAAAGACCACTTGTTTCGATTGTATAGTGTAGAGGGTCTTTTATGGACGAAGCTCTCTCAGCTGTTTAGAGACACCTTGACAGAGAAGGAGACATGTGGTTTGCATTTGAAACATTCAAAGTTTGCCATGCAACTAAGGGACTAGATGCCATCAAGCCAAAGCAAAGTCTGGAGAGGAGAGAAAGACTTGGACTTAGGGCTGGGTTGATAAATAAATTTAGGTTGGATATCTTAGAGACATCCTGGTGAATTAATGAGTTTGGAGTGCAATTTGCTGTATGGTAAAATGAGACATAATGCATATTCTTTAGGGTGGAGGGGTTGGGGAGAGGAAGATCAGAAGATGGCAGTAGATTATAATGGAGTGTTAAAAATCATGGAGGTGTTAGAATTGGAAAATACTGTAGCCATAATCTAGCGCAAAATTTTTTTTTTTACAGAGCACTTTTTTTAAAGAAAAAAATAGGAGTGTAACAATGGTTAATACATTGTTTATTGTTATCTTTAAATTAGTTACTCAGAGTACAAGATACAGGCATTTAATTGTCCAAACAGCATTAGCACAGTCCTTTCTTTTCAATGAACTAAATTAGTAATACAACTATCTTAACTATCATATATACATACATCATATATATATACATATGTGATAGTTAATATATATATATATCGTGTGTGTGTGTGTATATATATATCATACATACATTTGTTTTTCCCTTCTTTTCTTCTTTCCCCATCCTCAGAGCACTTTTTTGCCCCCATTTCCATAAGGGTTTTTCTAGTAAGGAAGCTAAAATTGAAGCATGGTCATCTGCCTCTCGAAAGAATTCTCAGAATGCTTGGTCAGTGTTAGAAGAGTGCAATGAGGAAGTGATTTAAGGAAGGGGAAGTAGGCAGTGGCGTCATGGCATTGTGTCAGTAAGGTGAGAAAATTAACTGGAAATGTAAGCTAATAGTATCTTCAAAATGGAATTTTCGTTTGATATTAGTAACTTTATTCATTTTCACTAAGCCCAAGTTGCCTACTTCCTTATTCCCTTATCACATCAATCTAGCCACAGATACAATCCTTCATTTTATATCATTTCATGGGATTTTACTTTTCATCCACTAAGCTTAGTTTCCTAGAATGACATCCCCCACATACACATGCATACATAAGACAGGACAATTTGTATTTTGTGGGATAATAGCTGTTGTTTTAGATGTTTCTCTTTCAAACATCTTTCCATTTTTGGATGGCTTAAACAGTTTTTTAAATATCATTAGAAAACAGTGGGTATAAGACAAAAATTAATCAATTATCCTGCTCACAGGAAGTACTCTCAGAGCCAAGTAGGAAGTATGAGATTATATTCCCCAACTCCTCATATAACCTTTCCGCCTTTCCTTCCTCAGGTGTTTGGCTTTATAGCAAGTTTTATGTTCCTCTTCGACTTCATTGCTATGCTTTGTGAAAAGCGGCGGGAGTCCCAGCTAAGAAAACCTGAGGCCCCTCCAACAGAAGCCCTCACTGAGCCACTGAATGCATAGACTGTGGGAGCAGCTGTTACAGAAGAGAGCGACTCTTCTTCATGAGGCCTGAATGCTGGCAGGAGGCCTTGTAGAGTGTGTGCAATTGTTTAAACCACTTGTTTTGAAGAGCCAGGGGAAGGGCAGGAAGCGTTTTATCAATGTTGAGCTGTGTGTCAACTTAAGCCCACGGGTATTTTTTAAAAGTCGTTTTTTAAAATAACTATTGAAATTTGTCTCAAATGCATGTTTTTAAAATGGAGAGGAAGACAATTTCTTTAAATCACATAGCTCAGATGATTATAAATAATTCTGTTATTCTGTTACAGGGCGTTCTCTTTCTAGGCTTAGCCTCCAAATTGTGCTTTATAGCTGTATAAACAGCTTGGTTATATTCATCCTTCATTTTTAAATTAATTTGTATAACTATTAGCTTGTTGGTGATTATATTGCATTTGTTAATGGAGACTTAATGTATATTTAAGAAATCAATATTTGAAATGTTTGTTCAATTTTCTTCCTTAATATATAATACTTGGCTTTATTATATCTCACTCAGCCTTAAAATTATATATGGTGACATTTTAAGATAATTATTAACACTTTCTGAGAATTTTGTGTAGTCTGTAATACAAAATGTATGGGGGGTGTTGGTATTTTTTTGGGTATAAAGGCAACAACATCAGCAACATCATGTTTATATTGCACTTTGGTTGTTGAGATCAAGTTTTTTTTAAAAAGATTATTATGTAACACATAGAAAAATGGAAGAAACTGATGTCACACCTAAGGACCAAAGATGAGAAGGATGGACTTTTTTCTCAGTACAGTGAAAATAATTATAAAGACAGGCTTCAGCTGCTTACCGTGGTTGTGAAGAGTAAATTCATGCTGTGAGTTAAAAATAGTTTATCACCCTTGTTGGCACATAATGTTTCTACTTAAGTTGACTCAGCTCTATGGGTCCTCTTTTATGTGTTCTCTTGGAGCCAATCTTTTTAAAACTCCAGCCTTTTTTTTCATTTGTTTGTTTTATGTCTTATCAGAATGGTCCATGTTCTGCTTCATCAGAGATGAAGGGCAGAGATGGGCCTGTGGTTCTTTTATTGTTGTCTGTTGTCTAAAGGTGGTTCAGAATCTTTAATTGTGAAAAGTGTGTAGTAGGAGCTGTAGAGTCCTCATTCCCATGTGGGTGTTGCTGTAGTTTCTCTCAGGAAGAGACATCTTAAAAAAGTGAATAAGCAGTAGCCCTGCCCAGATTAACAGTGGAGTAGTCAAACAATTCTCAAGAGACTTTGTAACCAGTTCTGATAATTTGGAAGAATTGCTTGTTGTTGTCAGTCACACAGGCAAGGCTCTTGGGATGGGACCCTTCTGCCCAAGTCATATAAACTAGGCTTTTCTTGTCCTTCTCCTAGAGTTTAGATCCAGAACTCCAGTATTAAGATGATAAACCCGTATGTTGGGCTCTTCCAGTGCTATAATTTAATAACCTCATTCTTTTTAGTAGTTTCTCATCTGCCATTTATGTTACAGATGGGTGTAAGTTGCTTGAAGGTGGCTAAGGTGGGTCTCAGAAATTGGTAAGTGTGGGCAGACATCTGCTGTGTTAGTAGCTTATCCGTTTATCAGTCTGTGTGCTAGTAGTAGTGGTGATGTCATCTCTGCCTACTTGGAAGATAATGAAACGAATCATGGGTGCCATGTTTACTGGGATATTTACTTAAGATGGAGGAAATAGCTGGGTCTTTGCTCTTAAGAAAGGCTGATTCAAAGATCAACAATTTGTGGTAGGTAGTTGTAGAATTTCACATCAAACTGCACTGTTGTCATTTTAATTGTGATGTAGACTCACCTAGAATTCACAGCAAACCATCTGGGCTACTTCAGGGTCACCATAAAATACCTGAGATAATCAGCTTAAAAAGAGTAAAAAGATTTATTTTGGCTCACAGGTTGGAGGGTTCAGTCTGTGGTTGGCTGGCTCTTGCTTTTGGGCCTGTGGTAAAGCAGTGTATCATGGTGGCGGAGTGTGTGGTGGAGCAAAGCTGCCTACCTCGTGGTGCCTGGGAAGCAAAATGGGAAAAGGAGAAGAGAGCCCTCTTCAAAGATGTGCCGCTGTTGACTCCAGACCTCCCAGTTACCCCCACCTTTTAACATTTCCACCACCTCTTCATAGTGCTGCTCTGGGGAACAAACTTTCACCCCATGCTCCTTGGGGACATTCCAGATGGAAACTGCAGTACTGCCCATGCATTGGGCCTAGTTAGCATTGACAGACTTATTCTCAGCTGGCTTCACACATGAAGCTTAAACTCCCTTACTCTGAGGCTTCTCAATTTGTCTCATTGGTGCAAAAGTACACCTCATTGTTAACTACTTAATTCTTTTCTTTTTAGAAAGATAAATTGTTCAGTTGTGTTTGATCACTCTTACAACTGTCTTTCACCTTGTTTCTTATGGGACCCATGCTTGGTTAGCTTCTCTTTTATTATGGAAGGAAGGAGGAATAAATACATCATTTTAAGGCTGGGGATATAGAGCTCAGTGGTGCAGTGCCTGCCTGGCAAGCATGAGGTCCTAATTTCAATTCCCAGTACCAAAGACAAAAAGAAAGTTGTTTAAGAAGACCATTTTAGTAAATAAATTCAGGAAGAATGTGGGACCAGAAACTCTTGTTATGTACAGAAAAGGATAACCTCAATAAACTCAAAATAATTTTGTAATTAGCAGTTATGATAAACTTAATTCATAATATTTTATATAAATTGTTTAGAATGGTTCTTAAGAATTATAAGGGAAATATACTTACAATGCAAAAATTTTATAAATACTATGCTTAAATTATTTGGGAATTGGGAGATGTATTTTTACATTGTTTATATCCAATCATTTTTGTATTTTTCAATTTAAATCCTGTGGATCATTTTATCTCTCCTAATGTCAAATTTTATAGTCCTTAAATAAATTCATTTAATTGAAATGTTTTTACCTTTGTAGTTTTTACTACAGAAGCATGAAAATTTGATAAAAGCTTTCTCACATCATTGTGAGAGTTGGCTTTACAACCTTGTTGAGTACCCACGTGGAGTACTGGATTGTGGGTCTCACCTGTGTAAAAGGTGAGGCTAGGAAAGAAAGAAATCAGTTTCCTTTGCATGAGCTGTCTTTTTGGAAAAGTAGATTACACACTTAAAACATTTTTAGGGTGCTCCATATGAAAAGTTGTACAAGAATGTTGCAAGCTAAATGCCCTTAAATACTTTCAGGGAAGCACATTTGGAAACTGTATCACATTTCTGGGTGTGGCTAAACATGCTGAAAACAAAGTAGGTTCAGTGATTCAAAAAGTGTGAGACCAAACTAGGGTGGTTCTGGTAAAGCTATAACTATTTGTACAGTTTGCAAAATTCCTGCCTCCAGTCTATCTGAGAATAACAAGGTCTTTATAATTGTCAAGAATTTACTGGAATGTGTACATTCTTCAAAGTTTTTTGTTTTTGTTTTGATAAAGAACATTGTATTAATATGCAATAAGCTGCAGTAAACAGAAAACCTAATTAAATGTCTCTTAAACAATAAGGAGACCATCACAAGAAGTCTGGGCAGAGCAGCAGGTTTGTTGGGGCCTGCTTGTAGTCCCACCTACTCAGGAAGCTGAGGCAGGAGGTTCACTTGAGCACAGGAGTTTCAGAACAGCCCAGTAAATTCAGTGCCCAGCAATATCATGATGGACCGAAGTTCTTCTCACATTTCCTGTCTACCCATGTTGCACTGTGAATTTCGTCCTCAGAGGTGAGCCTTTATGACATAGAAAGGTGGGAGGATCTCCAGGCTTTTTTTTTTTTTTTTGTATGGCATAGCAATGTCCAAAAAGAATTTTCTCTTAAGCTGTTCCTTTTTGCTGAAGTCCATTGATGGGCTTTACCTATTTGTCTTACTAAAAGATACTAACCACCCTTTTCTGTATCACTTACTGACATGGAAAATGAAAACATTGTAATTGGCTAAAAGTAATCAAGAATCTCACACTTTAGGTTGTAAAGCTGCCTAACTTGGAAGCTCATAACCTTGTACCACCTGACATTAGCTCTCCTGGCAGAGGAAGGGCCACTGCATGGGGGATCAGCAGTAGCTGTCAGCCATATGTTAAGGATTGTCCCCCAACTAGGAGAATTCAAATCAGTGATGCTCTTAGCAGAAATAAAATCAGTTTAAAAAACATTTGTGGTCTTGACTATTCTGAAACAAAATTAGGAAACCTAACACTAGTTTTACATTTATGACTATAACTTTACAAGTATGTATATCGCGGAAAATTGACATAATAAAAGGTGGTAAGTATTGTCTTTTTCTTGACATTTTTGTGTTTGGCTATTTTTATTTTTGAGATATTTCAAGCCTTGAAAAGTACAGAGGATAGTACTCGGAGACACTACCAAGCTACACTACCAAGCTTTAGTAGATTTTAATATTTTACTGTACAGTATACACTTTAAAGTCCCTTGTTTAAAAAAGGAAAAATTTTAAAATACCAAAACCTCTGAACCAGCATGTAGTTCAGTAGTAGAGCACTTACCTGGCATGTCTGAGGCCCTGAGTTATAGCCCCAGTACCACAAACTAAACAAAACAAAACATAAAGCTACCACCTCTAATCTTATTCCTCATTCCTCTTATTCCTTATTCCTTTGACTCTAACATAATCAAAGATAAGCACTATGTTAAATTTGGTAACTCCCCTTCCTATCTGTTTCTGTCATCTGTACTAGGTATGTGCACTCACGCATGCATGCATGTGCAGGCACGCATAGGTGTGTATATAAGCAATGTGTAATGTATTTGTGCAATATGTATCCTTTCTTACCCTGCTTTTTCAATTAATAGTGTTTTGAAATTTATATATATTACTGGTTCATTTCTTTTAAATGCTGTTTGTTATTTTCTGCATGATTATATTACAACTTATCCCCTGTTGAAATAACAATTTGAACATGGTTTTTAGTTTTTGACCTTTTCCGTATTACATTGCACAAACATCTGAATGTCTTATGTACATGTATAAAAGTTTGTGTGTGGTGTGAGTAGTTAGAAGTAAAATTATTGGGCTGGAAGGAATGTGCCATGCTAAACATTTCCAGATGCATCTGCACAGTGGTAGACCTAGTTGATACTGCCTTCTGCAGGCTGTGAAAGTGCTTATTTCTTCACTTTTGTCCTGCATTTGATATTAGCTCAACTTAACATTTTTGCTGATATGGTACTGAAATGATGTCTCAGTTTATCCCATATTTCCAGTGAAACCAGTCATGTTTTCATTTATATTTCGACCCTTCTGTGAATTGTTTTATATCCTTTTCCTTTTTTTATATTGACCTTGAGAGTTCCTGACATTGTTAAAATTATTCTTTGTTAGAAATATTCCTTGGAGTCTAGGGCCATACCACCCTGAACGCGCCCGATCTCGTCTGATCTCGGAAGCTAAGCAGGGTCAGGCCTGGTTAGTACTTGGATGGAAGAAATATGCCTGGAAGTATTTTCTTGCAATCTGGGATTTAGATCTTAGTTTATTGTCTAGTTACTTCAAGGTCAGAAATACAAAATCTGTGCCTCGGGGTGTGACTCAGCCACCTGTGCATTTGGCCTTGCTGGCCCAGCTGCCTGTTGGTCTTCACTCATCTGTATTCAGAGCATTTGCCACCTGCAGAAAGACTGTGCCAGCAGAAGCAGGTTAAGACAAAGCAGTGTCAGTCCATTGCTTGCACCTTTGGAATCCTCAAATTGAATTAAACCTAAAGTCTACATGGACAATCAAGAAAGAAAGCAGTTTTTAATAAAGCCAGTCTGTGCAGATTAGGTCCACATGGAAGGAGATCCAAAAGTTTTAAACCACCTTTGGCACCTCCTGTATCTGTCACCACAAATAGTAATGTATAATAAGTCACCCTAAAACTCAGTGGCTTAAAACAAGAGCTCTTTTTTAGTTCACAAGTTTGTGGGTCTTGGTTTAGGCCACATGGCTCCTCTAAGCAGGGCTTGCCTACATGTCTGGTCATAAACTTGCTCTTGACTGGAGCTCAGGCTTATGCTCAGCTCATTGTTAGCTGGAGAAATTGATTCTCTTGCAAGGATCTTTCATATCTCTTCAGCAAGCTAACTTATTTTCATGGCAATGGCAGAGGACCAAGAGGGACAAACAGAAAGTATGTTGTTAGTATTCCCAAGCCCAGAGTCGGACTGAGGAGGCATTATGCCTGGACCCAGGCACAGTAAAAAGAGGAATGGGTAACTGGAACCACTTAGGCATCGTTCTTATAGCCCACCTGTCTGTTTACTTCCTTGAGCATGTACCCTCACAATCAAGAGGGCAGTTTCTGTCATCAATGGCAATTTTCTAATTAAAGGGTATTTTTACCCAAGTATGAAACAGCAGGGGCATACATTCACAGCAGTAGAATCTCAAATCTACTGATAAGGGAAAGCTTCCAATTTAATATGACATTGTGCCTCCTGGTATAGATAAAAGTAAGACTTAATGGGCAGAAACAAGCAGATTAAAAGTTGGGGCTACAGTTCCCTAAGCTTTCAGTAGCCTGTAATCTAGCTAGACATGAAAGAACTACATGTGGAGGGGGACCCCGCTCCATGGTGCCATGAGCTTATTTATGGGGAAGTTGAAAGAAGCAACACAATAATTATGCAGCTTCATAAGAGTGGAAGTTTGCTAGTAGAGGAAGTGACCTTGTTAAAATACGGTCCCTTTGGGCCACTTGGTCTCCAGGTATTTTCTAGAGTCAGACATGTTCAAACCTGGCCAGTTGAGATCTGTTGTCCCCTCTTGGGGATGAGCCAATGTAATTTTTTTTTAACCCAGCAGTGCCACTTTCTTATCATAAGCAGATCACAGGCGAAGAAATGTGACCCTAGATCACCTGAGAGTGTTCAAATTAGTCTCTCTATATAGATATGAACAAAATGAAACCTCTATCTGTCAAGGTCAAAATAGATGCAAAAGCCAAGGAACTCAGGTAGGCAGAGGAGATTATCTGCTTGTGCAACTTATAAATAATTGAAAATAGGGTAGCTGTCCCTGTAGAAGTCATCACTGAAGAGTCTGGTAGATTTGGCAAATGATACAGTCTTTGCAGAGTGGCTTCCATAATTTCTCACTGGGTATCCCAATCCTTTATGGTTCCATAGCTTTGGTGGATTTGAGCATTTGGTTTATAGTAGAGACAATGGCCACATATGTTGGATGACTTTTCAGTCTAAATGTCTAATTGTGGTTGCTTCATATAACTGTATATATAATAAATATTGAATTTGTTATTATGTAATTAGATGTTTCTGTGGTGGAAGACACTTAATATATGATATGTCTTTACTAATCCAGTTCTGGTGGGCCCAAAGATCAGACCCTACAGCTAGGGCCATTAGTGAGAATCCATGAAATGATTTGGTAAATCTTGGAGCAGTACACTCTGTGGCTAAATGTCCCATCTGCTAAATAAATAGTTTTTAATGGCAAAAAAAATAAATAAATAAATAAATAAATGTCTCAGCTAAAGTTCAGCACATTGCACAGTGTCTGCTGGTGTGCCGCTGAGCCACTGACGATCCCCAAATAGCTGGAGCCTTCCAAAAGGCTTTTGCATCTTGGATGTAGGTGGGCTTTTTTAATCAATGATTTTTTTTTTGTTAGATGGTTTACTTTGTAGATGAGACCTTTATTAAAGCAGTAATTTGGGTATAACAATAGGGAAGACACTATTTCTGGTGGGTGGGCCACCACTTGCTTCTCCAGAAGATAAAGCCTTTATCTTCTGAGTGGGACTTTGGGAACCTTTTCCCATCTGGAATTTAGTTCAGAATTGCAGAAGAGATGGCCCAGTGGTGGAGAATTCAGGAGAATAAATGTCAGGTTATCATCCAAGTAGTTAGGATTACTGGTGTGTGCCAGTAATTACCAAGCTATGCCAAGTCTGTAG